AAAAAAAAAAAAGAATATTTAATTTTAAGGTTGAAACTTCAAGGATACCCTTTACTCATATTCATAATGGTGCACTTACCAGGCTATGCTGCGCTAGCACCTTGGAACAGGACAGGATTTTGGGTGAAGACAGGTCCCCTACAGCGTGGGGCAGGGACAGCAGTGACTGTGCCTGTTTATTCACGCTCACTATATTGGAATATATTGCCCTTTTAGAGGGCTTCTTGAGTGTTTTTTACAGATTATTTTAACTTAAATAATAAAATCTTTGCAATGCTTTGTGATGAGATTGAGGAATGACCACAAACCTCTTAATATCGTGCCGAAGCTGCTTATTTTGTGGCAAAGTTCTAAAAAGAGGAGTTAAATGCAAAGATGTGTGTTTCTCCATGAAGAAAAACTAGTAAGACTAGTGTTTAATTTTTGCTGTTTTTTGTTTTTGTTTTTTTTTTTGTGATTGGTGGCTCTCAATTAGCACTCATCTTAGACACCTTCAAAAAGTGACCATTGACAGTACTCACATTGTTAACACTTTCCTAAACTCATGCTATGGAGATAATATTTTGGAAAATAGATGTGTAAAAATATTTATATTCCTATGGAATTTGCAATTTGGTAAGCTCCCTGGGAGACCCTGCTGTCTATGGTCCTGGGGCCTCCTTCTAAGAATCACCACTTGAGGAAGGCGGAGCATGATGGAGGACGGGAAGGACATTTAGCTCAGCTCTCCTGGAACAACAGGTGAGAGTGAGTGGGCTAGATCATTCCTGGCGTGATATTGGTGTGGAGGGGCAGTTTGGGGTATGCAGCCAGGTGGCGGATTGCTGGACTTGGAGTATAATCTGGAGCTGCAGAGCCTGCCAGGAAAGGTTCCGCCCTGGCAACCCTGGCTGCTGGCAGCAGCAGAGGCAACCAGCCCCACCAGGAGGCTTACAGTTCCAAGTTTATGGGAAACTAGGCAGTGTGTGGAAAGACTGGTGAAGTGTGGACTCCAGAGAGGATGCAGTCTGGTGCGGCACCACCATGGTTAGACGGCAGGAGAGACACTCAGATGGGAAAGATCCCGGACAGGAAGAGGCCATTGTTTTGGAATTTGAGAGATGGCAGTCACTGCAGGCACCTTTCCCCGTCAGCCAGGGATAGCAATTTGAGTCTCATCTGCAGACAGTCGTCCTACACTCGGAACTGGCCCAGGATATCCTGAACTTCACTGGAACTGTTGCAGGGAAAATTTGGGAAACCTGCCTGTGAAGATGTTTTTGAGATGGGTGGAATCAGCTGTTCGGCCAGGGTCTGGGTGCCAAGTGGGTAATCAGGAAAACACCAAGAACATTTAAGTCAGGAGACAGGTAAAAGCTTGGGAACCACTCATGCTGCCACCTGGTGTCCATAAAGTATATTGCAACATAAGTATATTCCTACTAAAGTCGAATCCCCACGGCATATATATAGTCATATGTGTATATATATGTATGTATGTATATGTAATATATATAAATTTTGTTGCCTTGTTTTCTGTCTTTGCTCAGACTTTTTGCTTTTTTCCCCTTCTTTATTTCTGGTAGGAGATAATTATTAAAAATTTCTTTTAGTTTTTATTATTTTTTTCACTGCTTTCTCCCCCTCCCTTTTTTTTTTTTTTTTTTTTTTTTTTGACAGAGTCTCACTATGTTGCTCTCAGTGAAGTGCTATGGTGTTTCAGCTCATGGCAACCTCTCAGTCTTCTGGGCTGAGCAGTTCTCTTGCCTCAGCCTCCCAGGTGGCTGGGGCTGCCAGAGCCCGCCATAGTACCAGAATGCTTTTGGTTGTAGTTGTTATTGTTGTTTGGCAGGCCCTGGGCTGGTTTCGAGCCCACCAGCTCTGGTGTGTGTGACTGGTGCCCTGGACACTGGGCTAAAGGCACCAAGCCCTCCCCTTCCTCTTATGGTTGCTGAGAGTGCTTACATCAGGCTATTCTGATTATATATCTCCACAGCTGAGATTTCAGCCCAAAGCCACTGATTCACTAGGATTGGACAGAAACTAATACAGGTCAGAGCCATCTAGCCCTACCACACCAAGCAGGTCTCCATAGTTTTAGACTGTACTACTGAAAGGGACCTTTGTAAAACTCTAGGGTAAAAGTCACAATTACCAGTCCCAGTTCCTTGGTAAAAGGCTAGTTAATTACAATTCCAGGAGCCCTCAATTCAATTTCACCTTACCAGCTTCTCTTGACAAATGGTGAAAAATAATCATGGGGTGGAATCAGCAGAAAAACTCAGGCAACATGAATAATCAGAGTAGATCAACTCCCCCAAGAAATGACAAAGGAGACACACCAGAAGATACCATTCATAAACAAGTGGCTGAGATGTTAGAAATTGAATTCAGAATTTGGATTGCAAATAAGATTAACGAAATGGAGGTAAAGTTGAAATTAGAAATTCAAGGAGTAATTCAAAAGTTGTCTTAAGAATTCAATGAATTCAAAGACAAAATCACCAAAGATTTGGACACATGAGGCAAGAACTTGCAGCCCTCAAAAATCTGAGAAATACAATAGAATCCCTCAGTACCAGATTGGAGCAGGCAGAAGAAAGGATCTTTGACATTGAAGACAAAGCTTTTGAACACTCCCAAACACTCAAAGAGGAAGAAAAGTAGAGAGCAAAAACAGATCATTCCCTGAGAGAACTGTGGGACCACTCCAAAAAGCAAATATTCAAATGCCTTTTAGGAATCCCTGAAGGAGAAGAGGATGGTCT